AATGAAATTGTCACGAAACATTGCATATTTATGGAGTGCAAGTAGGATGCAAACTTTTGCTAGGGATCCAGGAATAATGATGCCAGGGTTCAGAATGTATGTACCATAGAAAAGAAGGAAGACAAAGACTTCTGGGTCTTTACAGTCTTTTTTTGTGATGGTAGGGATATGTGCCATTCCTAGCTCTCACATCCTCCACCAGTACAAGTTTGTGAACTGCTAGTAAGAGAATGATTTTATTACTTGGAGTAAGCCATTTTTATAAGCAAAACAGCTGAATGAATTCAATTTTCCCTAGAATATGACGAGTAATAAAAACACTGGTGTTGGATTTGCTTGGCCTGCATATTTTCAAAACACGTAATACAAATGAACAAGCAAACAAAAAAACCAGTAAGAACCCAGTATGTGACTGCTTCAATGAATGATAGCTTTGAAAATTGGAACATGAAAGTTTCAGAAAAGCAGTTCACCTACATTTGAAATGGAAATTTGCCTTAGGCTTCTTAGCATACGTAATATACGATCAGTTTATGTGCAGAACTTCAAAATGTATTAGAACCACCTGGTGTGATTAGAGATCTGAAGGTGCAAATGTCTTTTCAAGTCAAGTGCTCCATTCCTCCTGTATTGATATACTTTTTTCTGAGTTCAAGATACAATTCAGTTTCTGGAATATTGAACAGTATTCATTTATCCATCTTTCCTTTTTCATTTACTTGGTGATAAGCATATAATATTTCTTGAAATGCATGCCGGATCCAAGCATGAGCAGGAAATAGGATCCAAGCATGAGCAGGAAACTTTGATGGGGTTTTATTTATTTATTTTAAAACTTTTCTAGACCGTCCCATTACCAAAGTCACAGGATGGTTTGACAATACAAAATGTAATTTTATAAAAACACAGCATTTTAAAAATGTGACTAATAATAAAACTCCAATGAAAACAGTCAGGTCTTAAAACATTGGAAAGCTTTGTTTTATTTTTCTAGTGCTGAAAAGAACAAAGTGATGGTGCCAGGCGAAACTCTCTGGGGAGTGAATTCCACAATGGGGTGCCACTGCAGAGAAGGCCCTGCTCCAGGTAGTCATCCTCCTAATCTCCTTCACGGAGGACACCTGGAGAAGGGCATCTGCCCCACATCTTAAGGGGCAGGCAGGCACAAATGGAAGGAGATGCTCCTTCGGGTAACCAGGCCCTCGCCTGGGTTTTACAACTGAGCTCGCAGTACCACTGGCTCAGACTGCCACCCATCTCCACAAGTGGATGAAATGAGGCTCCATTGTATATCACGCTTGAAGATATTTATGCACTAATGTTTCCCTTTACCCATGCACTAGTTCTCCAGATCTTGCAGGATTTTCCGGGGCCCATCAGAAGCAGAGTTCCAACAGAGTTGAAACTTTTTGTAGCGTGGATCACTTCTCTAAAGCAGGGAGTCTGTATTTGTGCTATTACTCTACTGTGGACCATGGTGTAATTCCAGAAACCTTGGAGCCTCAAAGGTGAAGGAACAGGAGTTGACCCCTCAACGTTTTGTAGTAGGCATTTTCATTCAGAAATATCCCTCTCAGATAATAACATTTGCTCTCACTTACATATGTATAAGATTGCAGGTTTGGCCATGTTAGTGCATCGGGTTGCTTCTAGATGGATGATTGCTAGTGCTATGAAAAAACTCATCTGGAAGCACCCCCGGTGAAGCAGCAGTTTCTTGGTTAAAACACCAGCAGGACTTGCTGATCTTTAATAAGGCTTCTTTCTGTCTTCTGTTGAGCTTTAATAAAAAGTGAAACTACCAGCACTTTTCTTTTTGAATTTGATTAATTTCCGGATTTCCTTTATAGTTGTAACATCCATTTTACCGTCAAATCAATGTGTGCGTAACTGTTTTTACATGGGCCAACTTACCTAGCCTGGAGAAAAGTACAATAATAGGAAGAGCAACACTGCTGCACTTTTAACGACATGGACAAATTTATCTTTCTTTAGCTAAATAGCCTATCTAATCTTTTACCAAAGATGCTTTTTTAAAAACCGAGAGCACTTTAAAGTGCTTTTCACTGAAGTCTTCGACATGTTAAAAAAGCTATTCAATCAAGGTCAGCATTGCACAGGCCTTTTAGAAATCCTCCTTTTACAGATTAACAAATGTCTTGTGTATCATGCTAGAAATGACCACTGTTTTAGACAGACCACCTCCTAACTCAACCAGTATTTAATAATCCTGGAAATGAGACCGCATAGGAAGAGTTTATGACTTCAGTATATGGAAGTCCGCTTCCATTTTTATTTTGAAGTCTGAAGATATATCTCCATTCTCAGATCTTTCATGGAGAGGGCCCATGAGAAAAGTTTCCTACCGATGTGGTCTGGAAAGTACATACCATCATCATGACAGTTTTATCATGGTAGTTTTTATTTTAAGAGGATATTTACCATCGGAACACACTGAAAAATATGCCATCATTTCACATAAAACTGAAGTTTCTTTCACAGACTCATAGTAGAGTTGGAAGGGGCCATGAAGGCCATCAGGTCCAACCCCCTGCTGATGCAGGACACCATGTTACACCACCCCACTCAGATGGCTGTCCAGTTTCTTTTTTAATGTCTCCAGTGTGGGAGAGCCCACCACCTCCCCAGGCAGCTGGTTCCACTGTCATATTGCTCTGGCAGCGAGGAAGCTTTTCCTGATGTCCAGCCTGAATCTGGGTTGTTGCAACTTGAATTGATTATGCTGTGCCTTACAAAGTCAGTAGGGACATTACACGGCAATACAGATGCATTTTGTCATGTTCTTGATTTCGAGGGATGCAAAGTGGGAAGGGTGATGCATATGGCATTTTTCAGATAACTTATTGAATTTATGGAGAGTGGTGTCAGGATTGCATGTGCTGCCCTTTTGGACCTGAACCTAGTGTCTATCAGATTATCTGTTTATACAGCATTCCTTTAACAGAGTATGCATATCTCCATAGTGCTGCTGACCTCTGTACAGTCACCTGATGGCTTGTATAACACCTTTGCATTTAGACCTCTGCTTGAAGGTATCTCTGCATGATCTGAGGACTGCAAAGCTTTTACCAGGGTGGGGACCTTTCTTCTGTCAAGCATTACTTTTCCTCAGTGATAATTTGTGGCAGGTCACATGGCATTTGCGAATGATAAAGGTGAATTAGGCCATCTTTTCTCTCTCTTTCTCTCTCTCTTTCTGATTGGATTCAAACAACCTGTACTCAGCCCACACTCAGCTCTCAAGGTATTGGTATGGGTTGAGCACAGGTTGTTGAACTATGGTTGTTGTTGAGCTGTGCGTTATTGTTTGGTCTGAGCCTAGCTGTGCAAACAAACCATGGCTAGTTAATCACAAACAAGCCAGGATGAGAACCTATGATTTATTGTTGGGTTATGAACTGTGCATTATTCCTCTTTTTATCATCTTGACTGGGGTCAGACTGCATACAAATTCATATTTCAGCAACAAGCCACGATTCAATAAGAACCCCAACTCACCCCTCAAGTGTGGTTGATCCTGCTATCTGAACCAGTCTCTCTCTCTCTCCCTCCCTCCCTCCCTCCCCCAAAACAACTTCTATCATTCTCTCTCCACTCTTCCTTTCCCTCCTCACCCAGCAGGCTTGCCGCAGAGATACAGATTGTTCTTGCCAGAGATCTGGACTCATTTCCTGTAGAGGGCCTTTGAAATGAGACCGACTGCCCACTGCTAGTCTATACACACTGGTTCTGTACAGACTATCAGAGGACTGGGCAAAAGTCAGGAGCAGAAACACAGGTGCATACTCTGACCCGTAATCTAGAAAGGACTTTTTTTCCCTCAAGGAATTTTTTTCGGAAGGTGGCCCTAGGGCTATCTATCCTTGGATGTTCCCTGATTAATGTCTCAGGAAGTCATCCCATAAAAGATACATACTCTTGCTCCCCATTCAAAAACCTTGTTATGTGATCCCTCTATACTCATGTCTAAGAGGCTAAATATGCTGGTTAGGCCTCTTTACTGTCTAAACATATGTAGGATTAGACATATGTCTAATGACTTCGTCCAATGACTAAGGACTGGACCCTTAGTCACAGTGAAATATCCCTGAAATAGCCCAGACTTCAAACCTGGCAATGCTATTTCAAGCTTTTGAGTGCCGTGTCTGGAAGAAGGTCAGTTCTTAAAGAGTTGTATGATGCCAATAAAGGTGAGAAGAGAAAAGAGAAAAGAGGAAAGGGAAGGAATGAATAAGCAATATGGAAGAAATGAATATCAATGTCTGCATTTTTATTCTGAAAATTTGTTGCTACTTTTGCTGCTTTTTATTGTTGTATTAACAAGAAAACTAGTTGTTCTGCTGATGCCATGATTCCAAAGGTTGAAATCCTACACATCCATTAAACTCAAGGGGGTTCCTTCTGAGTAGGCATGCATAGAATTGCACTGCTCAGGCACAAGCTTAAACCTTCTTAGACAGAAGTAGTCCGACAACACTTGAGATTAGTTAGTGAAACTGGTGATTCTTTCCTTTTAGGCCACAAATTGATTTTGGGCAGACAAGCTTGTAAAAGTTTTTCTAGGCTTGTAATTCCTCAATGGTAGGGGAATGCTAGGAGTTGTAGGGCATTTTTATGTCTGAACAGGTATAGTTTTGTGCCCTTAATTTTGTGCCATTCACCCAGGACTGCTGGATATAGGAGGAAGGAGCCAGAATAGCTATTTCGGACAGATTTAAACTGGATGATCATGTGACTCAAAGCTGCATCCATATAAAAAGCTTAATAGCTGGACAAATGGAAATTTAATGTGCGACACATTGCCCAGCTTTCTACATTCCATCTCCGTCTTCTTCCCTCGCTATTATTTTCTTTCCACCTTCAAGTCTCCAGTAGCATTTCAAAAACCAAATGTGTGTAATTTCTCAAAGTTAGAAGATACTGTTTTCAAAAAACATTCTACACTCATCTTTGTAATTCTCTTTTTATTCAATGGACAGTGATGCCAGAGTTTATTACTCAAGTCAACACGGCCCTGGAAAATTTAAGCAGGAATACGATGCATCTGTTTGATGACAATCAGTTTGTTGATATCTCTAAGAAGGTCTATGACACAATTCATGACATTAGATGTTCGGTTATGATGATTCGGGTAAGTGTCTTCATTCATTCATTCATTCATTCCCACTTAACAGATTTAGCCATTTTGCTGTACATTGTTCATCTGAGTGATAGGTAAACACAAGGTCTATGCAACTATACATTTTGGAAATTATTTCTTTATATAATAAAGTGAGATCCGAAGGTCAGAATGTAAAGCACTAAACTGACACATTTGTACTGGCTGCCCATACATTTCTGAGCTGAATTGCGATGCTGATTTTGACCTATAAAGCCTTACAATGCTTAGAATCACAATTCCTGAAGGAGCAACCCTCCCAGTAGGACCCACCCCCTATACCATTTCATTCATTTCTATACCGCCACATAGTCTATAGTACAATCAACAGCTCAGGCTCTCCTTGGAACTTCTCCCAAAGGAAGGGAGAGGTCCTTTCATGACGGTAGCTGCCATACTGTGGAATATTTTCCCCCAAGTCCCGCCTGAAACCGATGTTACTACTGCTTTGATGCAAGGTTAAGAGCTTTACTCCTAGGCATTGGAGTCATACAATGGGGCTTTTAGGAATAGTTGGGTTTTAGTATTATTAACTGTTCAGTTGGGTTTTAGTATTATTAACCGTTCTTGGCTGTTCTAAACTGTTCTTATTTTCTTTTTGTATGTTTTAAATGTTCTGTTATTTTTCATAATATTGTGTTTGGGGTTTAAATTTCTGCGAGCCATTACTAGAACTATGGCTTTTGGGAAGTGTAGAAATTAAATGAATCATGGTCCTGAAATAACAGCATGGTGGAATAGTTCAGAAGCAGTTGCTCCATTAGAACAGGGTTCCTGTGTCCTAGCTGCAGCTAATGATTGCTGGATATCAACCAAATGAACTTTTTGGCAGAGGCATTAAGTCCAATGATTGATGACTGAAAACTAACCTTTCTGTGTCTCATGAAAACAGCCCATGAAAACAGGCAGACTTGTAAATGGACTTTGCCTGGTCACCCATGACAAGTAAAAATTGTCTCAGCACAACAAGGAGAGAAAGTGTTAGCGAAATTGGTGATTCTTTCCTTTTAGGCCACAAATTGTTTTTGGTCAGACAAGCTTGTAAAAGTTTTTCTAGGCTTGTAATTTACTGCATTTATTTGAAAGGCTACCAGGCTTATGGGTTCTCTGTTGACCTGGTGCCAAAGAAATGGCATTTCCTGAAAAAGCTTCACTCCCAGAAATAAGACAAACATAGACATTAATATGATTTATTAAATGTAATTAGTTTGACTATTTATTAAGAGTATTATACCCTATCTTTGTCCATGGGGAGCTGTGGTGTGGCCGATCCTCCTTCCCCACTTATGAGGCAACTCCTTGCTCTTCCTTCTTCTCAAAAAGAGGACCGTTCCATCTCCAAGCTGCGACATTGCCAGATCATTTTCATTAAACATTCCTTAATTCTTTTTATCCATAGAGTGGGATGTATAGACAGCAGGAAGAAATGGTGGATTAGGAAACCCAGTGACTCTTGATTCAGTTCGGTGGATCCTTAGATATCGATTACTCTTAGGCAGATACCCAAGTTTGCCTGGTACCAGCCATTATTTGCCTGCTTAGAATGTATTGAAATCCAAGAAAAATTTAGAAAATGAACATGGTCAAATACTGTCTCACAAAATAAGCTGAAAGAATGGAGAAATGTTCTTGCATTCCTAAGCAGAGACTGTCCGATCCATGCTAGTTTTATGTTTTTATGTGACTAGGTTATACTAGAATATCGGCCTATTATGTGTGTGTATTCACTATCCTCAGCAGCCAAGATGAGAAAATTAACATGCTTTACAGCCAGCTGCTGGCTAGGACATGATGATTCTCTGTGAAAAATACCAGGCTTCTGATTATACTAGGATCTCTGTATTAATGCAAGCAATGACATTCTTGATCAAAACATAACCAGGAGAAGTAAAGGAACAAGAACCCCCATTGATGGGGCTCCTTTTAACATGAAAGCGAGAATCTCTCAATGGCAGAATCACAGGGATGATTTCAGCCATGTAATTACACTGGGACTATTAAAAGAAACTGTGACAAACAACCCTCACCCACAGGCATTAGCTCAGATTGTCAGTGGTGTGACACCAAGTTTAAGTAATCCTTCAGTTGCATAAAACATTAGATGCCATTTTGCATTGTTGAACTGACAGTGCGGTGCTGAATGAACTGCAGGGTAACATCTCTCTTGTTGCAGAGGTTCCATTATTTTTCTGCTGGCTCAGCCCTTTCTGCCTTCCGGAAGATTTGATCTGCAGCTTATATCTCCTTCCCTATATTGTTTTCAGTGGAGAGATGCTGTGGTCCAAATACCTGGAAGAATCTAGGTTGTGGAATGCAGTTAGTTTGTTGTAGGGTGGTAACCACTATTGATTTAAATGTCCTCTGCAATCTACATCAAATGCAGATTGGCGCAACATTGACTGAGAGATTGTGAGTTTAGGGAAGCTTGAAATGACTCTTCTTAGCTACAAAAATGGTTTAATAAAAAGGAAAGATTAGCAAGGTGGAAACAGATGAAACATATGGCAGTTTGGTTTGTAAGTATGCCATAATAAGCATTCCCAGAGGAGGAAGAAAAAAAATGTTCTCCATATAAAAACTTGTAGTAATTTTAGCCTGTTGGTGCAAAAACAACAGAAAGTCCATTAACACCTTAAAGAAGAATGCAGTTATTCTGGCTTAAGCTTTGACATACAACCACTCAATGTCTAAATAGCAATGGAAAGACATGAACATACAGAGAGACAGGTAAGAGCTCTTACTGCCTTTAATTAGAGAATAAAGCAATGCAGAGTGTTCCAGTCAGCACAAGAGGGAGAAGAACCTTTTCAAGGTTTTAGACAGAGCCCCAACCTCCAGGCAAGAACGTCTCACGTTAGGGCTTCCTGCAGTGGCTCTTTCTTCAAGGTCAAAACCTCAACATCATAGAAATGGGGGATGGGCATGTTGGGAGGATGAGAGGGAGATGGCTGAGAGTCTGAGTGATCCTGAATCCTCCTAGCTTCCAGCTATGCTTTCTGCACAGTGGAAAACTTTTGCAAAATAATGGGTGAATAGGTGATCTTACTGGTTTTCCTTTTGGGAAGGAAAGCGGGGCCTCCAATGTCCTGCCAGGAAGAGTCTGTCATTTTCAACAGGATGAATCCTCCACATTAGGAACAATCCATTGTTTGAACTCCTCACCCACTGGACTGCAGCCTTAACTATCTAATTTTATGTGCACCACTCCTGCGAGTCCCTTGGACAGCAAGGTGATCAAACCGGTCAGTCCTAGAGGAGATCAACCCTGACTGCTCTTTAGAAGGCCAGATCCTGAAGATGAAACTCAAATACTTTGGCCACCTAATGAGAAGGAAGGACTCCCTGGAGAAGGGTCTAATGCTGGGAACAATAGATGGCAAAAGAAGAAGGGGACGGCAGAGAATGAGGTGGCTAGATGGAGTCAATGCAGCAGTTGGTGTGAGCTTAAGTGGACTCCGGGGGATGGTGGAGGACAGGAAGGCCTGGAGGAATGTTGTTCATGGGGTTGCGATGGGTCGGACGCGACTTCGTGACTAACAACAACAACAACAACTTACAAATGAAAAAGCCACACAAAAAGAAAACACTGGGAATAAGCAGAATGCATACAAGTGTATCATGTTTAATAAGAATAAAGGAAACCAACTACCCCATAAATAGAAGTATAACTTCCAGAACAAAAGAGGTACCGATTTCCATTTATTTATTTATTTATTTATTTATTTATTTATTTATTAAAACATCTTTATGCCGCCCCATTCGCCGAAGCCTCGGGGCGGCTCACATCACATCACATTTACTCAGCACTAGTCAAATCTCACCTGGAATGCTGTGTCCAGTTCTGGACACCCTAGGTTTCAAAGATGCAGAAAGACTAGAAAGGGTTCAGGGAAGGGCAGCAAAGGTAATCTGGGGTGTGGAAGCTAAGCCCTATGACGAGAGACTGAGAGAACTGGGCATGTCCAGCCTTGAGAAGAGAAGACTGAGAAGGGATTTGATAGCACTTTACATGTACCTCAGAGGCTGTCACAAAGAGGAAGGAAAATCTCTCTTCTCACTCATTGCTGAGTGTGGGACTTTGAACAACAAACCAAACAGCTCGCCAGATTAAGGTGAGATGCCAGGAAAAACTTTCTCACTGTTAGAGCAATATGACAGTGGAACCAGTTTCCAAAAAAGGCCATTGGCTTTCACCTTGTATGTCTCTAGTGTGGGGAAGCCAATGGCCTTTTTTGGAAACTGGTTCCACTGTCATATTGCTCTAACAGAGAACTGGATAGTCATCTGAGTGGGATGGTGTGACTTGCTGTCCTGCAACAGCAGAGGGTTGGACCTGTTTGCCTCTTTGGCCCCTTCTGACCCTCCTAGTCTATAAATCTATGAACTTCCCTATATCTATAAGCATATGCATTAAATATATCAAGCAGGTTCTCTTTATTTGCTGATCATATAAAGCAAACACCACTGAGCATAAAGCAGATGATAAATCACTGCATAATAGTGCAAGCTTTTTCTTCTTTTGCTATCCATTTATGGAATTGTTTAATTTATAGATCATACATTCTTTTTCCTCCATGCTTATGTTGAAGATATTTCTAAACCTAGTATAAGAAATCCATGAATTACTGTCTCATAATGTATTGGCATTCTGCTATATCTTACCAGTCACCAAGCATTTTTTTCTTTTTATATAAAACACTGAAAATGTTTAGGGATTGGTAATTCCTGTCTGTGTGTGACTTAACTTCAAAAACATTTCTATAGTTCATTAAGAGACTTGTGTAATAGCTGGGCCCTAATTAATCCAATGGTATCTGATCCATATTGATTCAAGTCTTACTGAAGCAAGGCATCAGTAAATGCCTGTGCATTTATAAATTTCTCAATTTATATTTGCACTGAATCATTCCCCCCTCCAGTTGGCCTTGGGTTCACATTGTTGGTACTCAGAATACCAGGAAATATTTTCTGCC